TATGGTATATAGTTTAATCTGTATATATATATTTATTTTATTATTGAATGATACTTTTTACTTATATGGTTTTAAAATCATGTATATCTTTTTATAATAAAATGTTAAACTATTGATCATTAATTTTTAACATAATAATTTTAATAGTTTAGTTATTTATTCTCGTTTCTTAAAATTCAAAATATAACCTATACGAAAAAATCATAAGTTTAATTTTATAGCTAATTTGATTGTTTAATTTATTTTAATAATATAAAATTAAAGAAAAATGATGGAGGATATATAAACTGTTATCAAATATTTATTATTAGAATCATTAAGTGTCATATATATATATATATTAGTCATTTATGGTAGTTCCGTTGGTTTTATTTATGGAAATAAAATAAAATAGTAATTATATCTTAGGGAACAATCATTAAGTATCATATATATATATATTAGTCATTTATGGTAATTCCGTAGGTTTTATTTATGGAAAGAAAATAGCATATCATATCATTATATCATATAGTTTGACTAACTAATGTATCTAACAACCTATAAAAATCCAATGTGGACTTACTTATTTTTCAATTGAATTTAATTGACTATCTAATTGAATGACACGTATGCATTGGGGCCTCTTTTAATTAATACAAAATTGAGGTTACATCTTTTCAAATGTTCCTCAATTAATATATAAGGGATATTGACGATTTGCATATATCAATTTTAACATAAATTCTCAAGTTAACATATTAAGTTTTACATTTTACATATACACTTGCCTTTACCATTAAGTATGTACTTGGTCACAAAGTAATTTCCATTTTACATATACACTTCCATAAAACCATTACATGCAAATATGCAAATCGTTATCAAATCGTATATTTTCCTTTTCTTCCATTACATGCGTGCGATATATATAAACTATGTTACATGNTTACATATACACTTGCCTTTACCATTAAGTATGTACTTGGTCACAAAGTAATTTCCATTTTACATATACACTTCCATAAAACCATTACATGCAAATATGCAAATCGTTATCAAATCGTATATTTTCCTTTTCTTCCATTACATGCGTGCGATATATATAAACTATGTTACATGCGTTATATGCGTCTCTAATTATTTTTACCTAGCAAATTTCAATTGAACCTAAAGCTGCCACGTCAGTTTAATTGGTATGTTAATTGATTGACAACTAAGCAAGATTACTTTTTAATTATTACAAACTTGAGGTTACATCTTTTCAAATGTTTCTCAATTAATATATAGGGGATTTAAGGTCGTTGTTTGTACAATTGTTTGAATATATTGATTTACCTCTACAGCATATTTTAGGGCTGTAGATGCTAATTGTGGACATTGTAGCATGAATATAGAAAGAAAAAATCTGAAATAATATTTGCATAAATTGAGATTGCGTAAACATAGCTAGTCAGAAATCATAAAAGTTGTATGTTTTTGAAAATATAAAAGCAAAAGCATTGGTTTTTCTTTTCCTTACCGAGGAGGGAGAGAAGAAAAAGAACAAATCTTTTGGTCTTCCAACACTCAACCAGTCGTCTCACACTCCTTTACAATATCTCTTCATCTTCTTGTAGTATAAAAATTGTACTATCTCTCTCTGTAGCAATCAAAGAAATGCTGCATAAAGTTGGAAGTAACACACCTTCAAACTGAGAGATCTTTGGATTGCAAGAAGAAAGTATAAAAGATGCAGCAACTGTGGCAAGTGAAGGAAAAAAAGAAGCAGGAGAGAATCATCAAAGGAAGAGCTCTTGTTGATGTTGTCTTCTCATGGTCTGTTCGTGATGTCCTAAACTCAAATCTTTACAAAGGAAAGGTTGCTGTCTTCTTTCTTCTTACTCTGATCTTTTCTTAGAACCTTAACATATGCATATATATATATATACTCATACGATGTTCTGTTTTGGCTTTTAAATAATAGGTTGATAGGATTCCTGAAACATTCTCATCAAGCAGGGAGTATTTTAATTCATTTGTTAATCCGATTATAGAAGAGACACATGCTGCTTTGTTGTCAAGTATGGAGACTCTGAGACGAGCACCAGCTTTCAAATTTTGGGAAATCAAGCCAGCCAAAGATTTTAAACCTCCTAATAATCTTTACTATGAGGTTACTCTGCAGACGATGCCTGATAATATGACCAATGGAGATCGGAAACTGTTGGAGTTCAATGATCTCATTGCAGTGACTGAGAAGAAACCTATTAGAATCGATGACTTGAGATGTTCAAATGAGCCTTACTTGCTGGCTCTTGTTTGTGGAGTGAACGAAGATAATCCACATTTGATAACTATAATGGCTTCGAAACCCATCGAAGATAACATGGAAAGAACAAAGAAAGGAAAGGGTGTGAAGAAAAGCCTGAGCCTCTTTGGTGTTTACTTAATCAACATGATGACCAATATTCGTATTTGGACAGCATTGCATCCAGACCCAGAAGGAGGAAACATAAAGCTTATCTCTAAAGTACTTCAAATCAACAATGAGGTAATTAATATGACTTCTCTAATGAACTCTTGAACCAGAATCGAAAATCATATTAAAGCTAGGCATTCGGGGAACCAAACGTGTGGGGTTTATGAATTCAGTTCCATTTAGATATTATAAAAGTTCTGTTCATATTTGGTTCGGTGTCGTATTTGGTTCGGGTTTAATTGGGTTTGGTTTGGGTTAGTAATATTCTAGAAACCTGTTGAGCCCAATATAATTTCAGATTTCGGATCTTAATCAGGTTTTAGGTTCCGAAATACTGTTTTGTACTTAGTTAAACCCAAAAACCAAATAAAGATCCAATGAAACAAAGACCAAAAAAAAAAAAAAAATTGAAATGAGAAATACTCAGGTCACGATTCTTTTTTGGTTCTACTGTAATTTTAGACAAGTAAAATTAGAGAGTAAAGATGATAAAATTAGAGAACAAAACTCAAAAACTATGTGCAAACATATCATATCCGATAAATCTGAATCAAAAACATGTCAAACCCAATAAACTCGACCATAGAGAAGAAGGAAGAGCACCAAATACCAAAATATATTAAATTATGTATTTGAGTTATTTATTGATGCAATAGATACTTATTTTACGTATGAAATCGGAGTATTTTGAGTACTTATTCGAGATTGAGTTCTGATATGGTATGCATATTTTCTGAAACAGAATCGAAAATCATATCTTAAAACTCTGTTTCTTGTGTAGGTTGGTGATGAAACTTGTGCTTCCTGCCAAGAAACCGGTGAGAGTGTGGCGTCACGTCACTTAGAGCGAACAATACGTTCATTCAAACTGAACTCATCTCAGGAAAATGCAATTTTGCGATGTCTAGAAGCTAAAGATTGCTACCATCGCAACAATATCAAACTCATATGGGGACCACCAGGCACAGGGAAGACAAAGACAACAAGTGTTCTGCTTCTGAACCTCCTGAAAATGAGATGTAGGACAGTGACTTGCGCTCCAACAAACATTGCTGTTTTGGAAGTTGCTTCGAGGGTTGTGAGTTTATTAGTCTCTGAGTCATTGAGGTTTGGTGATATTGTTTTATTTGGTAATAAGGAAAGGATGAAGATAGATGAACGAGAGGAGGATCTTTGCGATGTTTTTCTTGATTACCGAGTGAATGAGCTTTATCATTGCCTTCAAGCTGAGACTGGATGGAGAGCCAATGTAAACCATATGATCTCTTTGCTCAGTGATCCAAAAGACGTGTATCACAAGTCATTCATCGACAAGAAGAAGCGTCCCTCGTTTAAGCAGTTTGTAGAAGCGCGGTTTACAAAACTCAGAACCGACCTGCAGTTTCAGTTCTCCACTTTGTGTCGGCATTTACCAACTAAGGCGCTTTCTTTTAAAGTGGCTGAGAAGATAAATCAGACAGATCATCTCCTTCGATACATGAACATTTCAGATGTGGTGTTATATGGTAATAAAAGATTGAAAGATGATTGCGTGGAAGAAAAGCATAAAAGAAAGCAAGATTGTGTGAAGATGCTAAGATCCATTTGTGAAAGTATTGAGCTTCCTGATTTTATAGGAAAGTTTGGACTCAAAAAGCTTTGCTTAGACAATGCATATCTGCTCTTCTGCACAGCATCAAGCTCTGCCAAGCTACACATGAGCACTCCAATACAGCTTCTTGTCGTCGATGAAGCTGCTCAGTTAAAAGAATGTGAATCAGCCATTTCTTTGCAGCTTCCAGGACTTCAACATGCTGTTTTGATCGGCGACGAGAAGCAGTTGCCTGCAATGGTACAAAGCAAGATTGCTTCGGAGGCTGATCTTGGGAGGAGTCTGTTTGAAAGATTGGTTTTCTTGGGACAAAAGAAACAGTTGCTGGACATGCAATACAGGATGCATCCTTGTATTAGTATTTTCCCAAACAGAGAGTTTTATGGTATGAAGATTTTGGATGCTCCTTCTGTGAGAGTGAGAAGTTATGAGAAAAAGTTTCTTCCTGAGAAAATGTATGCACCTTACTCTTTTATCAACATTGCACGTGGAAGAGAAAAATTTGGAGATGGGCACAGTCTGATTAACCTTGTGGAAGTCTCTGTTGTGTCTGAGATTGTCTCAAAGCTTTACTCAGGTAAAACCAATCCCCGATTCTTGATTAGTCTTATAAACTTGAGTTTCTTGTTGATTCTTGTGTGTTTGTAATGTAATCTGCAGTATCAAGAAAGGCGCGGAGACCGATCAGTGTTGGTGTGATTTCACCTTACAAGGCTCAAGTGTTTGCAGTTCAAGAAAAGATAGGCCAAAAGTACAATACTAGTGAGCAATTCACAGTGAGTGTTAGATCTGTAGATGGGTTTCAAGGCGGTGAAGAAGATATTATCATAATTTCCACTGTTAGGTCTAATGGTAAAGGAGCAATTGGTTTCTTATCTAACGAGCAAAGAACCAATGTAGCACTCACACGGGCAAGGTAACACTTTCTCAAGTCCTTGAAATTTTTTTTTGTGTTGTTCTTATTTCAGTTATACCTTTGTGTGTAGATATTGCTTATGGATTCTCGGAAACGAGGCGACTTTAACGAACAATAAATCAGTGTGGAGGCAGTTAGTAAATGATGCAAAAGCAAGAGACTGTTTCCATGATGCCGAAGAAGATGTATCATTAGCTCAGTGTATTGAAAGATCAACAACAGCGGTTAATGATCTTGTTAAGCTTCAAAACAAGAAGCTTATTTCCTTTGAAAATTCTATATGGAAGGTATCATTATTTTCTCTTATATTACTCTCATTATCCATTATTCTTGACTCTTTTATGTTTTTCCCCCACCCTACAGGTTTGGCTTAGCAACGAGTTCTTAAAATCTCTGGAGACTATAACTGACTCTGATTTTAACAAAAAACTTATGAGTTGTTTGGAGAAGTTATCAAATGGAGAATTTCAACAAGATTCAGCGATTGAGAGTGGGAATCTTTTTAGACAACAAGAGGTAGATGAGGATTTTAGTCTCATTTGGGCAATAGACATCATCAAGAAAGAGAATCACCATGTCCAAGTTATAAAGATCTGGCATGTTATGCAATCTTCTGATATTTCCTGTGCTGGAAATTTTCTTGAGAAACATTACAAGAAATACACAAAAGTCAAGATAGAAAGGTGCAGATACATATGCTCTCAAAGGTGAGTTTAGCTTTAATATTTGTGGCTTTGATTCAGCAGAACCCTGAGGAACATTTATGATTTTTGTTGTTTATTATGTATTGATGCAGAAATTTAGTTGTGCCGATGAGATGGCCAGTGAAGTCTAGCTCGAGAAATGACACTATACGGGATGTATCAAGATCGTTTGCGTTGTTGAGTGTTGTAGAGGAAACGGAGGCTCCCGAACCAATCAAGTATATTTTCTTTGATGAATAATCTTTTATTTAATTTCAGGATTTTTATTTGTATAAAAGCACTTCTAAATCAGAGACTCTATTTTTGTTTTGCAGAAAACAATCGAAGCTGAAGAAGGTATGGAAGATTAGAAGGAAGGTTCAACTCCAAAGATCTTGAGACGGTTCCTTTCTTAATGAAGAAGTTCCAAGCAGACTGTTTGTTTTCTTTCTAACGTTTTAATTAAAGTTAGATTGCACCTTTTGCATCTTAGTAAGTTAAGCAAATCTCACTTTTTTTTCTGCACTATCTTTAATATAAGTTTTTACATCCAGACCTCGTAGTACAAATATCGAATACATATATAGTCATATAACTCAAGTATTATCTATTTATATTCAGATGATTCATCTTGGTGAAAATCCAAAATATTTTGAGAGAACTTACAACTTAAAACGAGGAAAATGAGCCAGCATATATCTCGAACTCTAATCCCTTTTAATTTTGGGCTACACCAGGCGTTGAATCAATCCTCATATGGACTTCAAGACTACCAAAAATTCTACTTTGGACATCTTATAATTTTTTTTTTTGGAACGCATGTTAATTTGTTTAAACGATTACTTTTAGGTGAAAACATTTTATTTATCTTATCTATTTCTATTGATTTACAGACATATTGTTAATTCTTAGACATTTTTTTGTGCAAGTGAATTCGTAGACTTGTAGTGTATTTTTACACTTGAGTTGTGTTGTTCTTTTATTTGCAGGGGAGTGGTATAACTAGTATTACTGGTTTAATTTCAGAAATATTTATCGATCTTGGGAGAATTCTATCTTAATGTTCAACTAATGCTTGAGTTAACCTATAAAATGAAGCAATTTCAGTGAATAAACAATCTCGAGGCACATCAAATCTATGTATCTCATGATCCATTTGATTTATTCATGTCTTCTCTATAATAGATTCTTCGAAGTTTATGTCCTCAACGTTTTTGCCATTAATATCTAAGGTGATTTTATCTAAGAAACAAGCTCAGATTGATGCTTCATCTTAACTATTTATGTGTTTCTCTTTTACTTTCTTATTTCACTTACTCATTCTTAACCTTGTTAGATTAATGTTTTATCCTTTCTTACTTTTAATTTGATACTTTTACGTCTATTATTGCACATGCTACACCGACTCGAGATTCCATAGTTTCGGTTCTCGTTTTATAGAGCAATGCATTGTTCTTCAATGATTTATATATAAGTGGTGAAAACTCATTTATTTGAAACCGCATGATATATACTTTTTGTTTGTTAAAAATGATATATACTTGCATGAATGTTTAAACCATGATAGTTGAGATGAATGATTAATACTGAAGTGTGTAAGAAAAAGATCAATATTGAAGTTTTGTTACTAGATCCTGAATTGGTGGCTATAGAATAAGTTGTTTACAAAAAAAAGAATAAGTTGTGCAGTAAATGGATAGACAAAATCCATTGAACAACTATGGTTGATCCTAAACAAAATATATATAAAAAATTTGATTGATTATCATATTAGTTGTAAGTCTTGTATTGTGAAGAAAACAAATTTTTTTTTTAAATTTTGCCTAACACATTGTAATAACTGATTGGTAACGGTTGTCAAATAAAACTGTATTGGTCAGTAAAAGTTTTATTCATTTTTTTCCCCAAAATTTCTTGAACTTCTAGAGAAAACCGCTTTCAGAACCAGCTACACAGAAACAGCCAACAGTAGCATGCGGATTACTATTTTTGTTCAACAAATCTGTCCTTTGGACTTGTGCTGGCGTCACGTTTTTATCTATTAAACACCTACATATCACATGATAATAATTGATTGGAGACAATAGGACGTGTTGCAAGATAATATAAGAACTCATTTCCACCCATGAATATATAGTTCGGCGGGTCATGATGTAACAGAAACAGAACAAAAAACTATAGTTCGGCGACTTTTATTTTTTTTACTATTAAATTTCTTCTTATTTTTTAATCACATGATATTAAGTTTCTAATATATTAATTTTCTTCACGTGGAGAAACTAAAACAGTAGGTTATGTTAATTATAGGTAATCTTTGTGATATGAATTATTTTCTGTTTAAATTGAATTATCTCATAACGTAAGAGAACATTTTGGTGTTTGGCATTATTATTGCTGACTAGTGAGTGAACCGGACCTAGACTAATTGGAACCAAAGTTCCCAAAACTATGGATCTCATCCCACAGTTGACGTCGGTCGTGGGCCGTGACCTTGGTTCGTCATCCAGTTCTGTTTTTTTATTTATTTGTTTTTTTTTCATCTGATAATATAATTACTATACTCAAACGATCTTAAAGTTTGGCAAGGCCTTACACGACAAGGTTAATACAATTCCAGACCTTCTATATCAAAAAATTAAACCATTAACCCCTGTCACTAACTAGTTTTTTCTTTGACCAAAATGCAGTGCTTAAATCACTAAATCCCAACAGCAACAGAGGACAATCTTTATTCATTCTCAAAGAAATCCTTAAGCCAAAAAGGAACTCCCGCAGCCACATGCGATTACCTATAACTACCTTTAAGGACAATTTGAGCTATGAAAAAAACTCCTCTATTAGTTGATTTTTCTTCGGTAACTATTCTCCACCATTCTAACTTTTCCAATTTCTTCATTACCTCAGTATATTGAAATTTGAAATTTGGCCATGCTCTTGGTCTTGTAATAACTTGGGGCAGAGTCGTATCATCCAAAGCTACAATGATGCGTTTAAGACGATGGTAGTGGAAACTTTCCAAGGCCCATAAGAGCGTCTGCAGCTTGGCCTCATCTTGGGGCAGTTTTTTTTTTTTTTTTTTTTTGTTAAATAGTTATTTTGTAGACAAAGCATGTTTGATGCATGTTTGAATATTCGTTACAGCTTTCAAAACATCCAATCGGTTGAAAATTGTGTCGCTGGACTTTTAGTCCTCTTGAGTTATTGACACCAAAAAATACCAGAGTTCACTTTATATTTGTTTTTAAACGACAAAGTAAAGCGTATACTTCTTCTCGAAATTTATGTAGAATCAACAACGTTTTTACATATGTGCAGGTCACTCATCATCAACAATTATATAATCTGTCTTATCCAAAACAATATACTGTATATATAATTATCCTCGAGTCATTTGTTGAATAACATATATCCGGATACCATACATTTAAAAAGTTAAATTTTATATATAGGAATATTTATATGCCCATTAATATAAGGGACGTAAGAATGAAACAATGCATCGGAAATAAGAATCACTTTATTTTTCTCTAGCTAAAGGTTTAATCCGGCCAAGAACGAAACCCCGGTTGAAGGCAACCACGACGAGCCATATATAAATTCTGACACCGTAAACCGGTTCGCCTCAGCCGTTGAGTTGATGACCCGATACCCTGGCCAGTTCACACGTTGAGAAATGTTCGACCCTGGTCCCGTGTTCAGATACTCGCCGTAGTATAAAGTATCTAAAGCAAAAGTTGTGTTCCACTCGAGCCAACCTCTGGTGTGTACATGATTACCGATATACGATAACATGTAAACCGTTCTAGAGTATAGCTTCCATGGCCGGCCTAAATAGGTCTGGGTAGTACCATTGGTCGCTAGGAGATCAGGTGTCGCCAACACCCTAGAGGCATGTATTGATATTCCCGTGTTTTGGTTCGGGTCTTTTCGGTTTTGAGCCGTGATTGTGTTTTTTTGAAGAGCCATGGGTTTGCGAGCATAGATGCTACAGTTTTGTAGCACTACGGCTGCATTACCGAAGATGAAATCGACTGTACCGTAGATATCACACTCGCGGTAGAATTGACGGTTTGAATGGACATAAAGTGTGTCTTGGTAACCGATTATACTGCACCGGTGAATCACCGCATGGTCAGCTCCAACACGGAGGGCCACCGCTTGGTGCTTTTCTGGACCAGCCCAATTTTGAAATGTAATGTCCCTTGCAATAAACCCAGCTCCAGTTGCGGCTGAAAAAAATCAACAAAATGTTAGTATTGTGTTTATTAACTCTTTAATTTTAGCAAACATAAGAAACCAACGTAATTAAGTTAACTCATCATCAGTAAGTGTTTTATGTCTACATATAAATGCAACAAATGCAGTCAGACAAGCTTAACTGGAGTAGTATATGTAAATGTCTTTACCAGAAATGTTAATGCAACTAGTGGTCTCTAACGCGTCCTACCACAAATTAGCCAGGACCCACATCCAACTAAATATATAAATTAATGCAACTCTTCTCTGTCTCCCATCATCGATGTATATAATATATACGAATATGTGAGTCAGTAATTGCGCGGCCTACCTCCAACTTTAAGATACGGTACATGTGAAGGTGTTTTTCCTTCTAGATGTGTATGCATATATGATAGAAGTGTGCAAATCTCTAACGATTTGAATTTAGACATTAGCATATATATGAAACATGCATACTGATAGTGATGCACCTACTTGGATGTGGAATATATAAAAGAGTATTAGAGAAATGTACTATATTTAAACTTCGGTTTACCAAAGAATGTTTTACAGTATGATTTGATTAGTGTAGAGTAGAGTGCATTTAATGCATATTAAGATCACTGATCACAACAAGCATGTGATTTTGGTTGGATGAGCGGCAGCACCACATAGGATGTCCGATTTAGTGCAAGTGTGTTACCTAACCGAACTCACTGCTAATCATATTGAAAATTTAATCCAAAAACAGTTATATAACTACAAAGTCTTAAAGCTCAGATAAAAGTTAATTTCACTATTTAACTAAAACAGTAAAATTGACTATTTACGACATTTGTGGTCCATAATCCATCCATATGAAGAATAAAACACAAGTGGTAAAAGACAACTAGTTTTGTAAACGATTCTGACTTTTAAGAGAATCTGTCGGACACTCTAGACCTATCAACGCTAAATCCATACAGCTAGCTTATGGCCCCCTTCACAGTATCCGATTCCAAGAACTTTCCTTAGAATATATATATTCGGTCAAAAATATACTACATATTCAATATTATTAAATCAATGGGAAAACGAGATACATTAGTATATCATTAATGTTGACCGCCAGTTAGCTTTTTCAAGACTTTATTCTGTAATTACCACAGAGAAGATCTTTTAACTTTTTTCAATTATGACGCTACAAAGAACTTTTAGTTTATAATTATTTGAAATTTGTTTAATTGTAATAATAATGTTTGATTAACGTGTAACTATCTATCATTATCGTACTATTATTTCCAAAAAGTGAAAAAGGTCTAGTAAAAAAGGAGGAACAGTGGGAAGGAATAAATTCTTACCAAACGACGCCGTATGGAAAGTGGTAATGTTATCAAAGATACTCTTCCCTCCAGAAATAACAGTTTTACCCTTCCCATCTCCAACGAACATCAAATTAATTTTTTTCCTACCGACCTTAAGGTTCTTCTCTTCGTACCTTCCCAAAATAAAACACACAAGACTCACTGAGATATAACGCAATAATTAACCCTTGTCCGCACTCTGAGAAGAAGTTACTTTCTTCATATTCACGGACGTAACAGTAACGAACAAAAAAAAAAACGAGTAAAACGATAAATGGAAGGGGTAAAACCGTAAAAATACCTTCCGGCTTTGACGTAGATAATAGTCCGGCGAGTACTGTGCTGAGGAGCTTTCTTGATAGCTTCCGAGATAGTCTTACACGTGCCGTTGCCGTCTTTGGAGACGATGATATCAGCTTGCATCTGAGACACCGGCATTTCCAGCAGTTCCCGCTCTCTTCTCTTTGTCCATCTCGGAAACTTCATGTCTCCTCCTCCTCCTCCAACTTCCAACAGCCTCCTGTTCTGTATCGGCACTCCGGCGAAATCGTCTCCATCACCGCTCGCCGCGAATATCGCCAAACAATTGCTGACGAGCTCGGAAAGATTCTTTATCGCCGCCGTCATCTGATCCTTCACTCCGCCGTCGCCAACGCCGTCGAACCCTTCCGTGCACGTGTCATGGTTCGTCAGAGCCGAGCTCAGCCACGTCATCACGTCTTGCGGGTTCGTTTTCCCGCCGGAGACGGGGACCACGGAGGATAGCGCGCGTGAGAGCGCGTCGACTGAGTCGTCCAGCAGCTCGACGCAGGACTCGTAGGCGGAGCGGACACGTGGCGGCATGTCGAGGAAGGAGAAGGAGGTGGATGAGTAGAGTGCTTGGTTGAAGTGGTGGAGCGTCATGTTCACCGTCACGTGGATCAGATCTTTGGGGGATGAGGCGGCGAGTGAGCCGGGGAAGTCCATTAGTGAGTCAACGCATAACTCGGGGAAGCGAGTCAACGCGCAAGCTTTTGAGATTGCTTGGCTTGGTTTTCGAGCTAGGGTTGGTGCGTGTTGGGATGATTTGACTTGTGATCGGACTCCGGCGAAAATCGCGGCGGCGAGGATAAGTGCGAATGCTACGATGACTGATGAGACAAGAAGCTTCTTTCTTCTCGGACTAGTATGTTCCTGTTGTGATGTAGTGGAGACTTGGCTTAGGTTAGGAGACGGAGCAGTGGTTGTTGTGACCGAACCACTTGGTTTCGATGGTCCGAGCCTTTCGTAGCCCATTGTGTTTTTCGTTTTAGTCTCTTTTGTGATTTTACATTCCGAATGATGCAAGTGCGTATATATATGAGTGAAGTGAGAGAAGTGTCTTAACGAGGGAGTGGTGTTGATTATTGGTGGGGGACACGCGTCATTTATTCATTCTTTTAACATAAGAATAAAACTGCTTTATTTATTTTTCTTGTGTTCGAGTTTTAAGTGCTAGTGTTAATCATCGTTTGTTAGTGAGCTTTTTGTTATTCGTCGACGTTGTTAGCGAGCTTTTTGTTACTGGTCGACATGAGATAAAAAGATCAACCGAAAACAACAAAATATGTCACAATTTAGAATTATCTCAAAATAAATAAAAAGTTTTTCTTTATTTAGAGAATTACAAAACAAAATCATTTATTTATTAATTTTCTTGTGTTCCCATTTCATTGCTTTTGTTATCTCCCTACAAAAACGTACATATCAAAATCATGTTGGTATGAAATAATTGGTTATAAATACCACGCTCAATTATTTTGGCTCGGAACGTGTAGTAGTACTTTTTAAAACATGTACAAATAAATATTGAAATTGATTACATTAGATGTGTGCAATGTGTTCCTATTAAAGAGCATGAGCTGGCACCTACCAACCAAGGTTAAACTTGTTAAGATGATTGTGAAACCACAATAGTCTCATTATTTTACGATTGTTTCCTTTACTATTTCGAAACAGTTTATAACACTCTTAACAGTTAACAGTCTATACATCGTTTCAACATCAACCTAACAAAAAAACACGACTCAGCTAATGCCAGAATGCGACTAGAAAAGACCCCATTGTTTCTGATTACATAGACACCGCACGTTGTTCTATTTCTGTTTTCAAATTTTGACATAATTTTGAACAGAGTGAAACTGTTCTTACGAATCTTCCCACACTTCCATAATGAAACATCAATATTGTCGTTCGATTTCTAATTAAACTATTACAAGTAACTGTTCGGACTTAACTCATACTTAGCAAATTCTTTTTTTTTTCATACTTAGCAAATTCGATTATGTATTAATTGTTGTCTATTAATGTATATAATCTTATTTCTTGGTTTTAATGTATTGAGACGTGGACATGACGTACACAAAATCTACTTGTAAAACATGATATATATACATTAACAAATAAATAAATAAACATTATTTGCTGAAATGTTAATTTAGTGTTCAACAAAGAGTACAATTACAGTGAAAGAATAAATGTTAAAAATATTTTCAAAATAGAATACTAATAGATATTCTATTCGTTTCAGTTTAGTTGTCATTCTAGGTTTTTGCACACAGACTAATAAAACATTTAATTTTACATATTTTTAAGATAAAAACACAATTACCTATACACATAAACACTTTTTAACCAGTAGAAAAATATAATATCATATAAAACTAATAAATTTTGTCTCTAAACTCTAAAACGAAACTTATTTTGAAACAATTTTTTTTTCTAGAATAACAAGTAATTCGAAACAAAGGAAGTAAGATGTTTGTGTTGTTAAAGTGACTATGCCATATTTTTAAGAGTCAATTTGGTAGAAATCCATAAGAAAATGGGAAATTAGGGATTTGCCATTTTTTGTGGGGAAAATAGTAATGTGTGGGGAGGAGAGATAAAGAAAGAAATAGGATATGGAGTGAATTATGAGGTTTAGTGTGTGTATGGAGTGCAAATACTCTATTTTTAATATGGTTAGTGAAGAATATGTACATGCTCAATAATGTTCGGAAAGTCATTGTCTCTTTTCTCTTTAATATTTTTAAAGTTGCTAACTTAGGGAGTAAGTTAAATAATATGTATCAATTCAGAATCGGAATTTCATTTGAATACTTCAAAACTAAACTAAAATCGTTTTGATTTATTGCGGATAGTTTTTGATCCCGTGTCTGTATCAAAAAAAAAAAATGCTACAGTTAGATTTTCATAAGGTAAAGTATATAATGAGTTCAAAAAGTATTATTATTTTTTTTTGAAAAAAGTAATATTATAAAGAATGTAAATACGCATTATTATTACTTTTTTTTGAAAAAAGTTCAAAAAGTATTACTTTTTTTTGAAAAAAGTATTATTATTACTAAGTTATAAAGAATGTAACATTCATTTACCTTTTATCATCCAAATCAGAAAAGGTAACATCGATAAATAAAATTTTGTTGCTCTTAAAGATTTATAAGACCATTATTATTTCTCCATCTCTCTATCCAAGACTATGAGTATGGGTTTCTTCTTCTTCTTCTTTAAAACATATTTCCTAACAGCAATTTAGAAGTTTATTGTTTACGATGGAAAAAACTAATCTGATGTAAAATGGGAAAATGGAGAAACTAATAATAAATGTGTTTCATAGTTGAAACAATCTATACACAATTAAATACGTCTTTAACAGATGTTTTGACACATGTTAATCTGATCACAACACACAAATAAACAACCAATCGTTCAGGAATCAAAGTTTCTGCAAATTTTTGTTAAATATACAATCGTAAAAAAAGATAAAAATGGATACCAATTTTATTTAGTAGGACCTTCTGTAACAACTTTTTTTTTTTGTTCCTTTACTTTAATCTGTTAACAATAGTTTTTATTTAGATAGTCCTCCTCCTTCTCTCTAAGAAACCCTAACTGTGCAGATTCGTTCTTCTCCGGCGGTCGCCGCCGCGTCCTTTTCGCGGCCGCCGGAGGTCTCTCTCTCTGTTCTTCTCTTTGTCGTCTTCTGGTGTTTTCTCTCTCCGTCGTCTCCTTCCGTCTTTATCTTCAGCGGCGGGTTTAGGTCTTCTCGTCTCAGATCCGGTTCAGATCCGAGTTCTCTGGTGTTTCTCTAGTCGGGTTCTGGGTAGTAGTGCTGCTTGAGGACGGCGGTTGCTCTTCCTGGTCTACGGCGACGGGCTACTCTAGGGTTTCCGTCCGGTCCTTTTTCCCTGAGTTCGACCGATCTTCTGTGGGAGTGTTTTGCGTGTAGCGCCGAAGAGCTTTGATGGTCCCTGTGCTTTGTTCCGGCGTCTTGTCTAGTCGGTAGTGTACGAGGTGACGGCTTCGCTTAGATCTGAGATTTCGCGAGTCAAAGATCTTTCTCCTCTAGCTCCTCTGGTGGTCTCTGGAGGAGGCGCGTGGGTACGTCGTTGGTCGGATTGTGTCTCGACTTCCAGGCTTTCCCAGTGGCAGCGCGTGGTGTCGGTGGCGGCGCGTGGTGGCAGCGCGTGGTTTGTAAGGTGGCGCGTGGTGGTAGCATGTGTCACCGGAGGTGCTAATTTTGCTCTGTTAACGAGTTATTCCGGTATTCCGGAGGTTTAACCTTGCCCCCTCCATGGAGTTTTTGGCGGTGTGGCCTTGCGCCTCACTCTCTCAACCCTTTGTGTGCGGCTTTGACTCGTTCTCCTCGGTGTTGGTTGCTCTGTTTAGTCTCCGTGCGGCAGTGGGTCACTCGGTTTGCCTCTTCTCCTGTAGGTGTGTTCCTGGAGAGTGAGTTTTTGTGCGGTCTGCTCCCTCTATATGTGGGTTTGGTTAAATGGGTGTAGACGGTCACGAGGGGTCGGGTCTGAAGACGGCATTCTTCGGATCTGCTTCTCGAACGACGGCATCGTCGCGTGGACACTTTCTCTCGTGCCGTCGGGGGTGCATCTGTCTGGTGTTTTTGGTAGGTCCGTGCTTCGATTCTTCGAGCCGGTCTGTGTTGGGTTGGGTGTCGGAAGCTGCAGGATCCGTAGCTTCTAGGTTTGAGGGCGCCTATCTCTCGGCTCGTGGCAACTGTCTCTTCTTCTCCGACCTTCCAGCTCGCTTTGGTCTTTGCCCGATCCGCTGCTTAGCTGGTTGCTAGTGTTGCTTTCCTACTTCGGTTTCTTGTCAATGTCGTTTTGTTGTTGTGTTGTGTAGTTTAATTTCTGTATTCTGCTACTCGTTTTCTTTGTAATTGTCTGTCAAAAATTTTAAACTTGGTATAAAATTTAATATTTAACCAAAAAAAAAAAGTTTTTATTTAGGGGTTTCCTATATATGCCAGTTTTTTTTTCTCTGTTTCATAATTTTATGCCATCTCATAGAGACCATTTGTATCGGTAGATCACTTGCCTTTTTTTGTTTCCTAAATGAATATTTATTTTGCTTTGCTTAAGATCTTCAAAAACAGTAACACAGGGTGCTACTATAACTTTTTAATTTGATAAATTTAGAATTTAAAATATATTCAAAACTAAATACTTTTGTTGTAGGTACCACATGCAGGTAATACATGAATGCCAAATGCCATTTTATTAATATTCGAGAAGATAAAGAAAAGAGTATGGCTCTAGTGGTTTTTGCGGAGTAAAGACCTACCAAATCCAAATGATCTTCGCTATATTCACATATAAAGCAAGCATTGGTCCATTACCAACAAAATTAATTAAATGTCTTCTAGAACTGCCAATGCTTACACCTTTTTCTTCTTTCGTTTTATCCCATGACACACCGTCTTCTATGTGGTGGTTTTTGTTGGATAGACAGCATACTCCTGATTTACCTTGTTAATAATTTTATATAGAAAGTATTTCAGACATTATAAATTTACAAGTATGACTGCCAGCTATACAAGTTCAGTGTAACCTTACCAAGAATTATATATGATACTGTATTCTGCTTATATAAATTATTGTAAATGGAATTTTAGTACATAGAAGTTGAAGCTTTGTCATCAATCAAAACTTATCAGCAAAGGTATTGATTTTCTGGCTTCTCGCTTTGTAACGACCTAATAATATCATACTCTTTTAAAAATGTAATTACATTATAGTGATTTAGTTAAAAATCCTTCCACGTAATCATGATCTACTTTCAGTGATCTAAACTTGCTTTTTATCGATTACAAATTTTCCACTAAGGATTCGATCTAGTATAGTATATTGACATAGTCATATATAAGCGTGTTGTATTTTTTATTATGTTCTTTAGTGCATGGTTTTCGCACAAATGAATTTGTATATAGCCGTTTTGTCTTGAGATAAAACGGTGAATGCTGTAGTTATTTTTTTATTTTTTTGGTATACCACTTTTAACTTATGATTCGGGGTTAAGCAAACGAAAAGTAGTCATCATCTCCTTTTACAAAACATAAAGTTAGATGCTTTTTAACATAGAGTTGTAAATCATTCATGTATAGAAAATAATATAACTTATTCTGGAATAATATGATATAGCGAATCAATCACTTTTATAAGTAAACGAATAACCCAAAGTTGCATGAAGGTCAATAATTTGAGTCTCTTACCATAGCTTTATGCATGCATGCATATACACAATATAATATATAAAAACATATCAACATGATGCAACACCATTATAAGATCCTTATTTTATGTCATGTTCGATAATAGGAATACATGTGCCCTTTTATATATATAATATCAACAACCAAGTCAATGTATAATGGAAGACGTTATTTAACAAAAATGATAAATTGATAATAATGATGGAATATAATGATAAATAATAATGATGATGGAAATACATGCCATGTGATTTGGTTGTGAGGATATCAAAACATAATACTACATCACAGCTTGGAAGTTTTACACAAAAACACAAGGTGGCAAACAAAAAAAAAACGCAAAGACAAAAACAGTACTTTACAAAAATGAGTCCACTCTACTGTAATTTTGCGATTCTTTTATCAAAAGTAGTATCAAACTGATATCCTTTATATTGTGTAACATGATCAACAACAGTGGTAACTCGTAACATATGTCAGAGTTACAACAAAGGGTCCTCGAATAAAAAAGTAGACAACCATAACAAAAGTCCCATATTAAGTTCTCTTGAACAACCACATGATTAAAGTATAAGACAAGCTCAGCCAGAATTATTGGGGATCACCCAAAGACTGATATAGGATTTTAGGATTAACAACGCGACTCTATTCTAATTGAAATGGGCTTTCAATCACTGTCCACACAAGACTCTAGAGTTGGACTACAATATTTAGTGGGCCAAAGACAACAGCAGACTATAATCTAATCTATTAGAGCATATATACACTAGGAGTTCAAAGGGAAAGGATTACACGCATCCCAAAAAAATATATTAAAATAATAGAAAATTGGTGAATTCGAGTCACAGAAGATCACTGGTGTGAACCAATTCACTGTTTTTTTTGTGTGGGTCCCACACCACGTGGCAGTCCACAATTGGTTCGCTAATTTTTTTTTTTAAAACAAACAAATTTTTTTTTTTTTTATGAATTCCATCGGCGGTTCATAAATGCATATGCTCTTAATCTATTAAAACAGAAGTACAAATTTAAATTAACCTTTGAATTGCACAATATTTACAATTTAATACCACTAAAAATTAAATAAACTTACATTTAAGTAATTATTATATTTTCTTATTTTAAATCATTTCCTAAATGCTATTTAACTAAAATTTTCTGATCAATATATTTTCTAAAATAATTTAGCCAAAGTTTAGAAAAATTCGAATTTAAAAACGTTTTTTAATTATATAATATAATATTTCTCAAGTATCATTTACAATTTACACATTTAGTTTATAAGGTTTAAAATATATATATTTGAATCTTTTTATAAATATATGTTTAACCATTACCATTAATTATTTTAAACAATAAAATCTATTATGCTAAGATTTACCTATTTTGAATTACTTGTAGAATAATATGGATTGTTTATAATTGAATATTCATTTTAATATATCTAAATGCTGTCTAAAATATATATTTCTAAAATATATGTTTATTCATCCAGTTACTATTAATTATTTTTTCAACAATAAATTTATCTATATAAAATTTTAAATATCATAAAATTACTTGTAAAATAATATATAATGTTGATAATGGAGTACTTCTTATTTGATGTATCTAAATCTCGACATATAATCCATAGATAATCAAAATATTTAGAATATTACATAGTTGGGAAATAATTTCATGTAAAAAAAGACATTACTAAAACATATCAATGGTTTAAGTTTTGTCAAAAATTTTAATTTAGTGCACGGTTCAATATTTATTTTCAACGTGTAAACTATTTTACTATGATGTTTATAAAATCTTTAAATATGATAAATATTTAAAATACTAACTAATAAATATTTAAATAATTCTTTTATATATAAAAGTGAAAATAAATATCTCACACGGACGTGTATGTCAAACTCTAGTTTTGTTGTCGAGAGAAAATTTATAAGCTTTTGCGTGATCTTCTTAACTTCTGTTCATACCTAAATTTAATATTGCCGAAGAGGCCAACCACTTCATTTGTAAGTTGTTACGGACCATCCGTTGGATCCTCTAAGGACATCTCCAATTAGACACTATATTTTTTTAAAAAAATAAGTTACACTAAAATAGAATAATTCTATTATAAAATAAATTTTATTTCAATAGTTTACTTTATAATATAATTGCTCTATTATAGAGTTAAATAGAGTGGAATGTCAAATTTTCACTTCAAATATAAAGTAAAAAATAACATTCCTCTATTTTAGTGTAAATTATAGAAAAAAATATAGTTTGTTATTGGAGATAGAACTACTTTTTTTTTTTCAACTTATAAACATTATCTCTCTTGATGTTATATAAATAAAATATTATCTCTCTTGCTAAATATTTAAATTTTAAACATTCTATTGGATCTATTTTTTAAATAAAATTTTAAATTAAATGCATTCCTCTATTATAAAGTTATATCCACATACATTTATTAAATATCATTTCCTTATGATTCGAGTGTTTAGAAAATGAAGAGCAACAGTTTTCATCGTATTGTTATTTCTTTATGAACCAACCTCTTTAGATTTATCTATTAATTATTCTTCCCTTATGAATCAAAACTCGTCTAACCGGATGCATTATATATAATGTAATTCTTTTAATAACTAATCTAAGTACATTTTTATGTAATTTATATTTTAATAAAATTAAAAACATAACCAATGCGTATGCACAAATCTTATTCTAGTTCTAGTTACTATTTAAATGATAAATTTTCTTGATTTATAAACTATCTATACTAATACCACACTGATACTTTACTATTAATGGTTTATTGATTAAAAGTTAATTTTAAAATTTTTATGTAAGTAAATGATATATAGACGAATGTAATAAGGGGAATACAAACTTGTCCATATTCTGGATCAATATAAAAAATCAATGTATGGTTGGATGTTGTTACACAAAAAACTAAAACTGACAAAATTTTATAAAATATGAATAATCGTTTAGATAAAAATACAATAGCTTTGAATAAATATTTGAATTTTTGATCTAAGCTTGTAATTACTAATAAGTAGACAAAACAAACCAAAGTCACGAGAAAATATAGAATAAGATTTTGGAATAAACTTGTACCCAAAAAATGGAATAGGCGGATTTTAATGTTGATAACTTCTGGACGCAAAAGTTAAGATAAAAATACAGATGAATTTAATTGACATTTACTGTATTTTTTTTTTATCTAAACATCAACTATTTCATTTACTAATAAAATGGTACATATTTTTTGATCATATTAGTTTTACCACACATACAACAATGCATCTTATCGATATCCTGGAAAATTCACTAGGTGATTTCTCACTCGGATGCAGTGTAATCTAGAATACATTATTGCATTTTTCACCACCGTGAGAACAAGTTCATCCCAAGACACGGGATAAACCGTCTTTTAAACAACCTAGTTCTACCACTAAAAACAGTTAACAAAACATGACCATAACACCTAAGAGACGCCAATAGTGAGACTGAAGCACTTAGCATCCTGGTACTAAGAATGACACTGTTAAAACACAGCCAATTGCTACATCGCCCATAAGGCGCAT